TATCAAAACATAGTCGGAACCTTTTAAATATAAATTCGCTCTCATATTTTAAAACCTATACTCCTGAAATGTAATAAAGTTTTCATAAAAATGTATACAAGATGACGTTTGCAGAGTAACATGAGATGAAGCAAACGCAAACAGCATATTGATAGATATTTTTACAAATTGAAATTTTGTAATATCGACGGGTTCTGAAATAATAAACTATGTTTCAAGACTTTTTCGAAATTCTTTCTTATATTAAAAAATTATGCCAGCAACGTCTGATATTATAATAATGAAGTCTCTTCTTCGAAGTAAATTTTTGTGCTAATTCAGCTACGAAAAACCTCTTAGCTTCCCTTCTTGGTTTTTACATTTTGAAAGTTTAATTGAATGCTCGCTTACGGCGTCTTTACCGAAAACAACAAAGGTAAAATAGAGGGTAACTGAGCATTAGACAAGATCCCCAACCCCAACCCCTCTTAAAACGCTATCTAGAATCAAGCTTTCCCAACATAGAAGAAAAAACCCGTTTTTGTCCAATTAATATGTAATTAAAACAAAAATGTAATCGTGAAAAAAATATTTCAACAGATCTAAACTTGATTAGATTGTACACATCAATGAGTTGGTAGGAACTTCTAAGAGTAGTCAGATGAAAGGACAAACGGACAAATAGGGGAAATATTCAGAAGCACCCCTCCCTTATTCATATAAGTAAATTTCATGCTCTCTTTAACACCGAGTTCTAGACTGAACTCAACCAAAAACTTGTAAAGACAACGAAGTATAACTACGTAAAAATTATTTTCTGCAGAAGTTGCGATAAATCCCACATGTTCACTTTCATTTATTGACACTTCTTGCTACAGACGAGTAAAACTTCCCCTAAACATGCTTGCGGAAAGCATATTCCCATGAGGCAATCTGAAACCCCGATAAAGCAGCAAAATTCAGACCTGTCGCCCCAACTCGTATGATTTCACTTTTATATTCCAACACAAAAGGGTATTTATCCGGGCTCTTGTGTCTCGACACAACACTGGTTTTTAAGGCTAGCAGCCGGAAATTATATTTTTTAATCACATTTTGATAAGCTAGAGAATCAATCTTCAAGAGTGTTTGGCGCTGTCATAAATCATAAAAACTTGTACAAGAAAAAACTTGATAAGTCATCGCAAATTTTTGAAATCAATCGAAGAGTCTGCTTGATGGATGAAAAATTTCTTCTATTATACCCGTTTTTTCACTAATACAAAAACTGCAATAAAAATCAATAAAAAGCATTAATTTTGCCATTATTAATTATGTCACCGTTTTTGTTGCTTAATAAACACATCCACAAAATCCAGGCCATAAAAGCTAAATCCTGTTCTTTATTAAAAAGCAAAGATCTTTTATATTATTAGCAAGTTCTATTCTATAAAAAATAATTTTTCACAACTTTACAACTTACAAAAACTTGATTAGGAAGAATAAAAAGAGAAAAGTCATATGTTCCCCCTGTTATTAGAACTGCGTTCACTATAGATCTATAACCCTCGGGCTTTTATACAAAAAAAACTGAGTCATAAAGCTTCCCTTTAACGTAATTAAATTAATTTGCAACCCACGATGTTTTAATACAGTATTCATTTTATGAAATAAACGTTTACAGGGTGTCTGAACTAAGATTCCTTGTTTTAATAAAAATTAGTAATTATAATGTTTAGCATTATTTCAGTCTTTACGTAGAACAAACAAGTCACAATAAATGTAGCATGAAATTGAAACGTTTCATTTAAATTCAAATTTACTAATTTCCTCGAAAACACAACAAATGATAATATTATACAGGGTGTCAGAACTCGCACTCCAGATAAAAATTTCAAGTAAGATACCAGGAACATGGAAAAAATGTTTAAAAAATTCTATCTGTCAAAAGATTTTGACATTTATTTTTTTATGTCTATTTAATGATCCTGATGATCTTGTATATGTTTTTTTTTATAATTATTTAGTAAAAGTACAAAAATTTTGTCAATAAAAGCCGCAAATAACATCAAATTTATAATACAGCTTCCTTGTTTCCTCTTCTAATATCCTATAGCACAAAAACTTGAAAAATTATTTTTCCAATAGAATAAAATAAAATTTAAGCTCTCATAACTTCGGAAATTTTTATAGATAGAATTTTTTGTATATAAACCAACTCATCTATTTCCTCAAACTCCTAGACATTCTAAACATTTAAATTTTGTCGTTTGTACAGCTGATGTTGCTAAATGTTATTCTAATAAAAATAACGCTGGCGAATAATAAAATAACAAATTACAAAATTTCGAGTTACGAAAAATGTCAGATTTTTATGAATCGTAATAATAATAACAAAAAAGTGAAGAAATCTGATTTAAAGGCTTTTAAACAAAATAAATGTAAATGTAGCAGGCTAATCAATGATAAAGCAGCCTGCACGAACAAATAACGCGTGATGAAATTTACTGTTGATAACCACTCACGCACTCAAGAACACATAAACCACAACTTTTGTCTACTTTAGTGCTTTTGCGGCAAAATAAGGCCAAAATATTCACTCATGAAACAAAAACTACTTCAAAAAGTAAAAAATAGGAAAAAACTAGTTCGAGTGTGGTATTTTAAAATGAATTGCTCAACAATTGGAGTTGATATTAACAATTTTTTGAAAATTTATACAAGGTGTCATTGGCGCAAATTATATAAAATTTAAATCAAAGTTTTTAATTCTCGCTAACTAAGAAACTTTTATTAGACTTTTTAAACTATTAGTTTTTATTTGGCATAACCTATCATACCCTAAAATTATGCCTATAATGCCCTGTATGTTAAAAGAATAACAATACATACTGACAATAGACACGATTTCGAAAAGGTATTTTGCGTTTTGTTTTATATTGTTTTTTATGCCCTTTTTTCTTTAACGATAAACGATAACTTTAACAGTAATTTAATAATGAGTCATCCAAATATAGTAAGAGACCTAATAAGAGCCAGTGTAGGTCCTTCATGATAAGTTTTTTATAGGGACGGTGGAAATTTTAGAATTACCTTTTCAGAAATTACCTTTTTTATTCATTTTTCATTTTCATTGTAGTTTTTTTTCACTAATTATTTTCTTCAGTTTTTACTATGAATGAGTAGAAATTAATTTATTGCAAATGTTGCTTTTTATTTAATATGCAGGGTGTTCCAAGTTTTGGAGCCAAAAATAAGTACTTCTAATTGTTAAAAAAAATTGCTAGTGCAAACCCTAAAAACCAAATATGGATATTTTTTTTAAATTAATTGGAATTTTGTCTACATGATAAAATTCCTTGATTTTTTCTAATGGTAACTGTGAAAATTGAATAATGGAAAAGTTAATAGATTTTGAGTAATTAACATTTTAATATTGAAAATTGAAATTAAAGCCGGGGTACGTCATAAATGTGATTGCGGACCTTTTTCTTTTGTCAAATAATTCTGGCCTGATCACCAATCACCGCAAACCCCCCATAAATTATTCCAAGTTTCAGATTTTCAATATTAAAATGTTAATTACTCAAAACCTAACAACTTTATCATTATGCTATTTTCACAAATAGGACAGAAAAAATCAAAGAATTTTGTTTTTTGAATAGTTACAAAGTAAAAGATTTATTGATAATACCAAAAAACAACAAAAGTCTACATTAGGTTTTTTTTTAAATGTGTACAAATTTAATATACAAGGTGTCCTAAGTTTTAGAGCCGGCGCAAAAATAAATACATATTTCTAATTTATTAAAAAAATTATATAGACTTTAATTTGATGCTTTAATATTGTTCAAAATTTTTAGCGTATGTCAGGGAGCCTCTAAAAACCAAGTTTATAAAAAAAAATTAATTAGTTGGAATTTTTTCTACATGATAAAATTCCTTGATTTTTTTCTATAAAAATTAAATAATGTAAAACTTGATAGATTTTGAGTAACTAACATTTCAATATAGAAAATTAAGAAACGCGGATCTTTTTCTTTTATCAAGAAGTTCAGGTTTTCAATATTAAAATGTTAATTATTCAAAACCTAACAACTTTATCATTATTCTATTTTCACAAATAGGACAGAAAAAAATCAAAGAATTTTATTATGTAGAAACTATTCCAGATAATTAATTTTTTTTTCTCCAAATTTAATTTTTAAGGACTCACTGTCATACGCTAAAAATTTTGTACAATATCAAAACATCAAATGAAAGTATATTTAATCCTCTGTACAATGAATTAAAAAATTAAGAGTATAATTTTTCAAAATACACTTATAATTTTAAGAAAAGAAAACAGGTAGTGTGAGATTTATAAATTTTGACCAAATCTGATAGTGTGAGTTCTACTCGGGGGCTCGCGGCTTTGCCGCTCGCCCCCTATAATTTCTAGTTTCTACAATATTTTCGAATCCGACAGGATTTAATATCGTTACGAATATTTTTGCTTCAATTGTCGACAAGTTTACTTTGTTGCTCACAATTTTTTCCTATGATCAATAGATTTCAACAACTCAACCATCACAAAGAAAACCCCGTTTGAATATACAAACAGAAAAAGCTGGTGCAGCTAGCTATTGTAGTATAAAATTTTCAGAATACACTTTCGCTTGTTTATTCCACAAAGAAGTGTACGTGGCGTTTGGTTATTAGCGGTATGGTTTATTACAAGAGTCTGACGATTTACTCCCTGTTTTCTTGTTTCCCTACAAACAGGCACCGCTGAAACGATTTTTCATCGTCTTAATGCAGCGCACTTATTCATTTGCAAAGAAAAAGAAAAATTATTTTTTAAATAATTTTATTTAGATTTAACTTGAACTTCAAAAATAACTGTCGTTAGAGTTACAATTCGTTTTATTTTTAGTAAGTGATACTAAATGATGAAAATGCGTTAACACTATTGGCTGCCGTCCCAGAGTCTTACGCCAAGTGCCAACATCATAGACCTATTCATTCTGATCCAGATTTTTAGTTCGATTGCTCAAGTTTCAACGATAGTATGTTTTGCATTCTTAATTAAAACTTATTACAATTAAATAATTAGAGAAAACTAAAAAGTCGCGTGACAAAATAACTGTGATTATTATTACAAAACAGTCACAAAAGTTCCTTGTAGTTATAAATAAGTCATGAATGAATAAAGAAGACAATGACGTAAGAAAGAGTAGAAATTCAAGCGTATCAACCATTTTTAAAAGGTAAGAAATAATAACAATTATTGTAAGTAAAAGTTATTAGTAGAATAATAAATATTTGCTGATCGTGACCGGCACATTAATATTTTAATTCCTTAACATTGTAAATAAAAACTGCTATGGTTTAAAAAAAACACGATGCAAGTGAAACTTTTTTTCGATTAATACACATACCAGGTGAATAAAAAGCATGGAACCAAACGTTTTTTGCTTAAACTATTTATTTTTTGGAAAAACTAATTGATGAGTAATAAAGTACTATAAAAATGTGATGATTTAACAAGAATAAAATTTTTCGAAATTTCCTTTTGTTTTTGAGTTCTACAAAAAAAAAATATTTTTTTAAATGGCAACCCACTATAAAATCATTTTTCTCATAAAAGCTATACTCTAAGGATTACAACTATCTACTTTATATTTCATTTTTTCAAAAATTGCAATTTTAAATACATCAATACACTGAACAAAACACACAAATACCACGGAGCACTTGCACGAATGAGTAAGAATATAAATGCTACACGGTCAGTCAATGGCGCCGCCATATTGGCCTTGGCTGCTCTGTCGAGCGCCTTTCACTTTACCCCTACTCCGCGGCCGGCTGTAATGCGACATGCGATAGATGGACGAAAAATTTTGAGGCGATAGAATAAAAGTTTCACTTTAAAAAAATACGCAAGGTTTTTTTGCTAATTTGGTGAGATGAATTTAAAAAACAAAAAATTTGAAAGCGAAAATCCCATTAGCCCAAGTTCGAATTAAATAACATGTATGGCATTTAGCACACTAAGCTAGACATTAATTGAACAAAACTGTATATTATACAGTTTGTATAATATAAGTTTTCTTATAATTCCAAAAAATTTAAAAAAATATCATAAACCAAAAGTCAATTACTAATTTTTAAACAGATTCATTAGCGAGAACACTTCCACCACCAAAATCGACAACCTTTTTTTTTTACTGGTATTGACAGTTTTTATTGATACTGTCTCTTTCAGAAAAAAAAAGATAAAAAATAGGTAGTTTCGCTTATTAACACTGATTTTCAGTTCAAAATCTTCACGTTTTAGGTACAATCGAAATTTGGTCTCCTTATACTCAGAAATGTAAAGTACTTGGTATGATTTTTCTCAGAGTGAAAGAACACTTAGAACTCTTACTACTTGAAAAAATGACTATACAGGGTGCGCTAGAACTCGCACCCCAGAGAAAAACGTAGGTATTATACGAAAAATTAAAACCAATAAAAACAAACGAGTTTCAAATTTTGATTTTGCATAGTTTTGATATTTTTTCTTAACAGAAAAATGACAAAAACAAACAAAAAAAAGTACTTTCATAAATTCAAATAATTTTCTCAAAATACCTCCAAAAACACAATATACATTTTGCCTAAAAGAGGGAAAAAAAGCGTTTGCTATGCCGATTTTGTGACACTGCTTTATCAAAAACTCTCATTATGAGAGGTTTTACATCATCTCTGAAAAAAAGTTAAGCAACGATGTTAGTAGTGAAAAAAATTATATATAAACCACCAGTCACGTTTTCATAATATAATTAATTATAATTCAGCTTGGCTATTAAAATTGTTTTCTCTCCCTTGGTATATAATACTCGAAATAACTATTATTGGATTTTAAATTAATCACAGTTATACATTTTAACTTTAAAATAGGAATGTAATTTAGGTAAGATAGTAAAATTTAATTTTATGACAAAGCTGTAAAAAGGAGCTAAAAAAATTTGGTCACAAATGGTTAGATATAAATTAAAGATTCTACTTGTTGACAAATTAAGAGAATCAGAATATCACAAAAACGGATGGAAGGTAATGCTACAGAGGTAATAAGAATTTCTCATTATATTCAAAAATATTTTCTTTTAACAATAACATCAAAGACCGTGTTTGGCCGTTGGTAAAGTAAATAATAATCTATTTTTTGTGTTTGGAAACATTTATAAATGTTGTCTACCACACAAAAATCAATACTCTCTAAATTCGAACCCCTCGAACCTGGCACAAAATTACTTTTCAAGACTATGTTACTTATTCAAGCCCAAAATAGTTAAGAACGAAACTTCCTAATAATAATTACATCCAAAAATGTGATTATATACAGCCAGAAGAAATGATAACTTCCCAATTATGTCTAAGTTTCAAGTATGCGTTACATGCTTTTAAGCTTTCCTTTCCCCCTTGTAGCAGAAACGAATGAAAGGCATTAATATTCCCCCGATTTTAGCCCAAAGCAGTCACTTCAAAATGACGACATACTTGAAATTTTTCATTCCTTTTGAATTAACAAACCCAATTAAATGCCGTTATCACCAAACAAACAAGATAAGTGATAAAACAATATTTTTACAGAGAGAATAGTTGTGGCCTTATCGTCGATGGTAAAACATGGATTTCCTCACCGACTACGACGAACAACTCTCAGCGAATGACACATACGACATTAATTTCGGTAGACGAATTCAACGAACAGGAAAAATATTCTCTTACACTTTTTGGAGAGCCGAAATTGAAGGAGAGATATTCTGGAGTGTGCAAGGTAATAATCCCGATGGATCAGCCTGGATTGTAACGAAATACTTCGGTCCTCGTGAAGAAGGTAAACGATATCAGCAGGAAATCATTCTGCATCATCCGGTTGAGAAAAAAATCAAAATGTTTTATATGGCGTCGTGTAGTGAAGGAATGAACTGTATTAAAATTTCCAAACAAATCATACACCACTTCAAGACCTGCGACAATAGTTTTCATTTCGAATTTAGATTGCTGAAACTGAAACGAAGACCTTACCCCAAAAGGATGTTATTTGAGGATAGCGAATAGATGTATTTATTATTTATTAAGTGTTTTAAATATTAAGAGTGTTTTTATACAAACCATTGAAACAAATGTGACTGTTGTTAAATTTTATACTTAGTTTTGTTTTTGTAATTAAATACTGTTTTAATTAAAACGCTAAGTCTAATTTCAAAGTATTTAATATGAACAACTCCCCCAATTTCTCTTGTTCAACACATATGTAAATTGTACAAAAGTGTTTCAACCTTTGTGAAAATGATATATTTCCATTCATCAAAGGTTTCACTAGATTAACGAATAAAATTAAATCTGTGGATTCAACCAAATTGCAGTTATTAATTTACCAACAAACCGATAATTTTAGTTGTGAATTTATAACACTGACCTTTACTTAGATCATTGAATGGAAAATTGAAGCCCAACCATTCTAGAATTGTGAAAATCTATCGCTGTGGTAAAGATAGCACCACATCAAAGCTTTATAACCGTAACGATTAACCCCAACCGAGCACAATTGATTTTCAATTTCCAATATACGAAACTTTCTCGACATTAACATGAAACTGACTGAAATTAACAAAATTAATAAGATAATCGACAGTCGGTCATTAAAAATATGAAAAAATTGCGCTTATTGCGTTCAAAAAAAGTAAGAAACGGATTTTTTCATCACATCTAGTTTTGATTAGGTTCATAAAATGATAAATCTGTAAACAACTAACTCATGACCACAAATCGAAAGTTATGTTTTTTATTGCCTTTTTGGATTACACAAGTGATTTTGAGAAATTTTATCAGACTTCCCTAATATACCTAAATTTAACCGTTTTTGAAATATTTAAACTTTTTTGAAATTCCTTTAATTTGCTTCTTTCTCTCCAAAAATCGATAACTCTACCAGTTTTAATTATTTTGAAATATTATTTGGGCATTTGAAAAAGAAAGGTGAGATCTTTTCTTTCGTGTATAATTGGAAGAATAATTAACAGACCTCCAAAATTTAGGGTTAAGTTTGGGAAACTTCAAATGGAAAGCCCCACTAAATGAAAGAAAATTTAATTCTGCATTGATCTGTATCAACATTCCCTATACCTAAATTTAATGATTTCCAACTTATTTTAACTTTTTTTACAATGGAAGAAATTCATTTTTAAATTTAAGCATTGCTTTAAGAAATTTTTAAATGTTTTTTGCAAGTCTAGAAATTTTTTAATTCAGTACATCTGACACTTTCTTAGTCTCTCCAACTGTCTTTTGTAGCACGATGTTTTGAAACGTCTCAAATGACATTTTTTTAAATTAAAAAAGCATTTCTTTAAGAAATTTTTAAATGTTTTTTTGCAAAGTCTATAAATTTTTTAATCCGAGACATCTGACACTTTCTTAGTCTCCCCAACTGTCTTTTGTAGCACGTTTTGAAACGTCTCGATTAGCATATTTACTACAAAATTTAAACATTTCCTTAAGAATTTTTCTTTTTCTTTTTGAAAATCAAAAAGTCAGTACATTTAACACTTTTTTTTACTTCAAGCCAAAGTAATCCGAAGTAACCCGAAGTGGCCTAAAGTGACCTGAACCGACCTGAAGCTACTCGAAGTGATCCATGGTAGTTTCCGAATACCTATTTTACCATGGAAATATTTCTCACTGAAAAAACGCCAAGTTTTTTTTCGCAATAATTTTTTTTTGTAAATACAAATTAAGTTTATTTAATCTAAATTTGAATAACCTTCATATTCTATTTTTTTCTTATTTTTATGACAAAAAAAGTAGCTAGAGCTAAAGAATTTCTCAAAATATCAAAAAAAGTTATTATAACTAGGGAATGTTAATACAGATCGCGCGAAACTAAATTCTCCTCCATTTAGTGAAGAAAAAATTGGGGTGTTTAATTTAGAAAAATTAAATTAAGGGTATTTGAAGTTTCCTAAACGTAACCTTACATTTTGGCGGTTTGTTAATTATTTTTCCAATTATGAACATACCAAAAAAAAAAAGAGATCCTTTCTCTCTCGTATATCCAAATACGATTTCAACATAATAAAAAATGGGAGAATTATCGATTTTTGAATAGGAAGATTCAAATCCAAAAATTTTTAAAAAGGTCTAAATATTTCGAAAACGGTTAACTCTTTCAGGTACACACTTTAATATATTTAAAATGGCGTACAGGTACAGCTATTTACTGGATGTTAAAAATAATCATTTTTCAAGTTGTTTTAGAAAAATAAGTATTAAAATACACTAAAGACAATTTCATCGGTCTATGACCAATTATTTTAGATTTCAGATTTTTTTTACTTTCTCCGGTAATTTCATTAACTTCATGAACCCCTCATAAAATCTCGTGCATTTTTGACAATTTCAAAGCATTAATAACAATAAATTAAGAAAATATAATAGTATTATAATGAACAAAAAAAACTTACTTAAACTTAAACTGAGTTAAACTTAGGTATAAGGCTAATGAAAACTCTCCCAAAATCACTTGAGTAATCCAAGAACGCAATAAACTTTCTATTTAAAATAACGAAGTTGATATCCACTTCCGGTATAACAGGAAGTGCCGCCATCTTGAAAATATTTTCATTGAGCAGAACCTAACCGATTATGGCTATAAACCGAATTTTAGATAAATATCATTGTTACAACTTCCAAAACTTCTAATGTGGGGTTTTACCGGAACAGCCCGTATAAATTTGCCATTTTTCGTTTCACTTTTTGATGAAAAGCTAAGAAATACTCGTATATTATAATAATGATGAAGCTTAAATAACACTCTAGCACAGGCGAGGATACAGGTCAGCTTTGAAGAGGTATTTCGATATTTTTACACGGCAACAACCGGTTACCAATGTCGGTGGTAAAATGACTTCGGCCTTTCTTGTATATAACACATAAACATGCAACAGGAATACGTATGTACATAATTAAAATAATAAACGACGTACTAGATTTGCAGGTTCTGGTAAAATTAAGTTTTTAATGCATAATTAACAGTTAGTAATAATGACAACAATTTCTTTCACACTCAACTGCATTAAAATCATTTGCGACTTAAAAATTAAACCTTTTTACATAAACAAACTTTTTCTTAAATGATCGATTTATTTTGGTTGACTCGTTCTCTTGCCAACTTTGCCATTATTTTGCGTATATTCGCTATTCAAATCAACAAGCATACGACACCTAGTGTACTACTGAAATTTAAAGTCAAATTTCTGTTTTTATTAAAAAAATGTAATAAATACAGGGTGCGCCAGAACTCGCCCCCCAGAGAAAATTTTCAAGTAAGGTAAGATACCAGGAACATGAAAAAAAATTCTATCTGTCAAAAAAATTTGACATATTTTTTGACATTTGACATTTTTTATATCTATTTAATGATACTGATGATCTTGTATATGTTTTTTTACAATTATTTAGTAAATGGACAAAAATTTTGCCAATAAAAGCCACAAATAACATTGAACAGAGTTACAATTTAGGATACAGCTTCCTTGTTTCCTCTTTTAATAGCCTATAGCGAAAAAACTTGGAAAATTATTTTTCCAACAGAAATAAATAGAGTCAAAGTGCAAACTTTAAACCCTCATAACTTCGAAATTTTTATAGATAAAATTTTTTTAACATTTTTTCCATGTTCCTGGTACCTTATATGGTATTGTTCTCTGGGGCGCGAGTTCTGGCGCACCCTGTATAAGCCAAGTTCAATTTTTAATACAGTAATAAGAGAGATTCAATAGATTTACTAATTAGATTTATATGAAAAAGGAGGATAATTGAAGAACACTACCCAAGTTCTAAGACAAAATTTAATTAATTTCGCTTTCGCCATTATATGTTAGAGGAGAGCTAATTTTAGACTAATGGAAGCTCCTTGAATTTTTAGCAATAATAATGGTTGTTATAAATTAGTTCGCCGTGAGAAGGGGAGTGAAAATTGAGATATTACAAAGTAAATACGAGTAGAATTCAGGATAATAATCGTCTCCTAAATAATTAAATATTTCGTTACAAAAGTAAAAAATCAACAAAACTTTATATTATTCTCTCAGGATCAAACAAGATAATTTTAAATATTTGAACTTGTAAGTAAATATTTAAACCATTGTAACAAAAGATACCAAAAATAAATAAAAATCTCTAGTCGAACTAAGCTTAGATAAATCCATACTAAATTGAAACGTAAGCTTATTTTCCGATTTTCCAGCTTGGAATATCAAACCGCCACGATTTGGCATCTCACGAAATTGTGCGATAAATTAGTTTCAGGCTAATATCAAATGTGCGTGACTTAGATGAAGCGTGACACAATAATATGACACTAAGTAAGTGACTGTAGATTACAGGTATTAATTGGTCTACTTTTTCGTTAATTATTATCAGTCATTACAAAAATTATTTTTAAACAAAAATATCAATACCCTTGTAATTTCACAATGTAATATAAGCTTATAAAATAGTTATTTAATTCAAGACATCCGAATGCAAAGTTGCATGTTATAAAGTTGTTAAAGTATAATTCATGGAAAAGAAGGGAAAAAATTAATCGATTGAGTGGACTAGATAAAAATGAAAATTGCTCGTGAAATTCCCACAAAAATTTAATCATTACCAGCCAATTCCGTGATTTATTACACTCAGTGTTGATGTTTTTTTTTACTTGAGATTGATGTTTAATCTTTATGACAAAATAATTAAGAGTTATTGATTAATTTACATAATGTCCAGTCCAGAATATTTGTAATTTAACTTATTTTGAAAGCTAGCTTTGTCATTGAACCGATCATTAGCCCGGAAATGTTGGAACTTGTACGAAAACAATTACACAATTTAGCAATAATTCGCCAACCCTTGCCAACTTTGAGTTCAACATGCTTTTGGCATGAATGCAAATTATTATTATGGGAATATTATTTGGCTCTTTGCCTGGACCTAACAACGACTTTTGTTTGAAAAAAGACGTAGCAAAAACTTTAATTTGAAAAGAAAATAGTTTGATTAAAAATGAGATTTGCTCATCCCGCATATTCAAATAATCTTTACGTTAAATAACTAACCATTCGTGAGATAATTGAATAACTCGCTTTCTAATTGCTTTGCAAAATAGGAAAATAAATTTGAAAATGATTATTATATTTCGTTCTAGATAATGCCAGTCAGTTGCAGAAACGCATTTGAAAATTATCCCTAAAATTTTTACTTTATGAACAGCTGCTTTTTTTTAAACACATATGGTTCACAAAAATATCGTAAGATCAAAGTCAATTCTGCAAGACAAAAACCGAGTCTTTATTTAATTCAAAAAATTTATACTGTGACCATTTCGCCAAACTTAAAATAATTCTTCCAAAAGCCATAAATTGTGCGTTTTTAGCAAATAATTAAAAAAAAAAACTGAATTTTTAAAGATTCAACTATACAGGATGCACCAGAACTCGCGCCCCAGAGACAAATGCCATATAAGGTAAGATACCAGGAACGTAGAAAAAATGTTTAAAAGATTTTATCTATGAAAATTTTGAAGTTATGAGGGTTTAAATTTGGCACTTTGACTCTATTTATTTCTGTTGAAACAATAATTTTCCAAGTTTTTTTACTACATGCTATTAGAAGAGGAAACAAGGAAGCTGTATCCTAAATCGTAGCTCTGTTTAATGTTATTTGTGGCTTTTATTGACAAAATTTTTGTACTTTTACTAAATAATTATTAAAAAAACATATACAAGACTATCAGTATCATTAAATAGACATAAAAAAATTCAAATGTCAAAAAATAAATGTTAAAATTTTTTGACAGATAAAATTTTTTAAACATGTTTTCCATGTTCCTGGTGTCTTACCTTACTTGAAATTTTTTTCTGGGGCGCGAGTTCTGGCGTACATGTATAACTTATGTTTCGACCACAAATAGTAATAATAATAAACAAATCTGGTCTTTTTTTTCCTAACAGAAATTACGAAGTCAAGATTGGTGGCAGATTTCCATGGCCAAGAATATGTTTTTTGTTTCTGTCTAGAAATTTCGTAAAAAAATATTTTGTCAAATTTTATCTTTAATCGAGTCTTTAATAATTTATTAATTATGTATTAATTAATTATAAATTATAATTATTATTATTTAATAAAAAGATTTCGGAGGTGATTCCTTAATAAGTCAATATAAAAAAAAGTTCCGGAAATGTTTCGTAAAAGAGGTACAGCCTTCTGAAAATCGAGAGCAAAAAGTCTTTTTTTCTAATATTTCAGAAACAGATAAATTTGAGGTTATTTTACTAATTTTGATTAAAGTTACTGAATGTTTATTTTTTACTGTGCAAAACATTATACAGGGTGTTTCACACAACTTTACGAGACTTGCGCCTAATGTACGCACCCAAATATACAAAAGTCACAAAACACTAGCTACAAAAAGTACACATTTAATTATTTAACTTTTGGAAACCCATGACAATAGTTGTCAAACTAATTATTGTTTCATTAACAGTCATAAACTGCAGTTTTTCAGAAACAATTATCATTTGTTCTATCAAGAGACGGCATAAATATGATTCTAGTTTATCTATCTTAATCATCACTAACTAACTAAAAATGTTGTAATTTTTGAAAGGGGAAAGATTATTCAATTTTTCTAAATTTGTAATCGAGTTCGTATCGGAATATGTATTATTGATTGCATCTTACAGGTGCAGGCCTCGTAAAATTATGTGAAACCCCTGTATTATATTGATCATTTTTAATTTTATACTGATCAAAATTGAAGTATTATTTACTGATCGCTTTATTAGTACCCTTTAAAAATCGAGATCATGGTTTTAATAGGCTGAAATTTTTAAACTACAGAGTGATTGATTGATTATAAATGATTTTCATCTAGCCAGCTGTGAATTTACCATGTAAAATAAAAAATGCCGCTTTACGTAAATAGGGGTACCTACTTGTTTTAATTCAAAAATAAAAAATCGCCGTTTACTAAGCGTCCACTTCGAAAATAGACTTCAATTATAAAACTTGTTTTCTTCCAAAATATACATTATTATCAATTATTATTGGAAATTAGTTGAAACAATAAAAGTTTAATTAACAACAATATATTATTAATTAATAAGTGACACTAATGACAAAACTAGAGCTTTCAAAAAATTTGAGCGGCACAAATAAAATTACATGCAAAAAAATTCCAAAGGTGGCTAGATAAAATCATTTATAACCACTCTGTATAAAACTCGCGTTGTCTTCAAGATTTTTTGAACCAGAAATTTTACTAAATTCCGAAATTATTATAAAGAAGTATGGCAAAATAATGGCAAAATTGACAAAATAATGTCAAAATTGACAAAAAATATGCATCAGCGTATTTTATACTCATAAGATATTCACTATTCAACATGAGAGGTAAAGTTTGTTTTTTTTTAAATGGAAATTACCAAGTCAAAATTTTGGTGAAAAAATTGGTAGCAGCTTGTCTCCATAGCCACAAATTTTGTTTGCTCTTTGTTTTTGTCCCTAAAAATTTTGTTAAAAAAAACGATGCACAAGACACTAATTTAATTGCGTTCTTTCCAAGGTTCTTTCTCATCCATGTTTATTTTGTATTTTTGTCAATTTCCTGCTAAAAATTGAGAATGTTTAGCAAACCTGCATTACAAATTGCGTCTACATTTTAACCCCTTTTTCTAACTTCCTGCTTGCGAACTATTCGTTTCCAAATTTCTAAAAACTGCTAGCGGTACCGAATTTGTTCCTTTTTTGGTGTTTCGTCTCTAAATTTTCTTAGACGATTTTTTGTGTTGACGTTTAATGACAGTGTTTTCAAATTAATTCAAAAAACCGGAACTGCCAACTTCCTATAGAAACAGTATCGAGAGATCAAGAAAATTTATAATACAGTCATCCTTGGATTCGGAGACGTATGTCTGTGAAAGGTCAAATAAAATGACAAGACAAAAGGTAAAATGGCATGATCAAAAAAAAAACGATTTAGTTATTAAACTAAACTTATGATTTATCTATTGTTAGCCCATTCAAAACGTATGCCTATGAAACGTCAAATAAAATGACAAGTCGAAAGGTAAAATGGCATGATCAAAAAGATGATGATTTTAATAACTAAATTTATGATTTACCTTAAAAAAAAACACAATTTTATAGTTATAGGAGTACGTCGGTGACTAATTCCAGTCCATTTTGTCTTTCAACTTATCATTTTATTTGACGTTTCATGTATCTAGAGTTGGTTCAAAAACAGACATACGTTTCTGGATTCAAATACCTATTGGTGTTGCAAAATTTAATGTTTATAAAACCGAAGCCGTAAAAAGATGTATTTGTATTTTATTTAAAGTTCTCAAAGTTTATTCAATGCTAAATAAATTGAAGAAAACAGTTAAAGTTGTTGTTTCACAACAAACTCCAATCTCATGAGACTAAAAAGAAGTCACTCGGCCAATAATCGTAAAAAAAGTACTCGAATTCCTATGAGAAACAGGAAAAAATACCTTTTGAGCCTTGCACATGATGGCAAGCGCTTGGACGTCATGTGAAGCATGCCTCGAATCCATCAGACACAGAGCACAAACACCAATTTTGCACACTAAGCAGTACATATTCAAGTTTTCCTCCGAATGCTCTGTGCATTTATCGTCCTTATTCCTAATCGCAGTCCCTGAACACCGTTTCGGTTCTGTGAGCACATGTTTGGCCAAAGGCCCCCTCGCTGGATGACAGGACTCGCGACAAGTCTCGCAATAAAGCACCTCGCATTGTTCGCACATAACCGTGGCTTCTTTCGCCGGTTCCGTCTCGCACATTTGACATTTCAGCGTGAAATTCCTGAACTCGCTATACCTTTCAACAATTGTCTGCATCACACGGTACTTGGGGAGGTTATGGGCGCCGTTCTCGTCGAAATACACCAGCTTGTGGCACAGGGGACAGGCGAGACTCAGGGCGCTGGGGAACAGCCCCCCGTTGGGGGTGCCCACGTAGCTGTTGGGGCGCGAGGTGCACACCACACCGCTGTCCGTTTCACTCAAGATGGACAACTTGTCGCTCTCCTGGTAGTCCCCGGAGCTGCCGGAGGCCACGCTTTCGGCGTTCTCGGCGTTGGAGATGGCATTGCTCTGGGCGGGCTGCTGCAGGTGCACGGCACAGCTGAGACAAAGAGCGTGGTAGCAAGGCAGCAAAACGGGGCTGGTGTAGAACTGTTTACAAGAGGGACAACGCAACTCCTCCTCCATCGCACGCAACTCACCAAACTCCACTGGCGGCGTCTCGCACCAAAACACCGGTTGGTTTGAAACACACGGAAATGGACGAACATCGGCGAGGTTTTGTTCTGGTGCTGTTATTGTTGGCGGCAGATGGAGATGGATGGGAGGGTTGAGGTCGACGACATAATTTTTACTTCGATTTTGTCCTTTTTGGTTTATACTGATTTTGCGGTCAAACACGGGAGGAAAACCTGTATGCATCGCACCATTTTCAAGCATTACCAACACAATAAATTACAATTACAATCTTTCGTGGCTGAATAGTTTAAAATTGTTTCATTTAATTAATACTTTGGTATTGTACTAGAAACAGTATCGCAAAAGGAGTTCGATTAGTTTCTGCCAATGAAGAAATTACTCAAATAACACAAAGAGGTAAACATAAAAAAAAATAAACCAGCAATTAACTAAAACAAAGTTCTGGAACGACAGCTGAACTTGAGGGAGCTGTGGTCAAAAATGTTTTTAAAAATATTTTGAAACCTATTTAAAGTATTTACCTGAAATGTTATCTTTAGTCAATCTTTTATCCATATATATCGTTAAATAAAAAGCAAATAAATAAATAATTGCATTAAGTTCCGACCTAGAGTGCACATAAATCATTCAATTTTCATTGAAATCAAAAAAGGGGAGATAATAGTAGATTATGTTATTAGGAGTAAAAAGTATTGTTTATGTGGCGAAGCTGAACGTTCATTTTACCTGTGTCATTTAGTCAAAAGTGGTCACTTTTGTGACGTTTGTGGATAAACAAATATAATAAATAAAACATAACTTACACAATTGACGTAAAATATACAGGGAGTTCCGTCTAAATCCCACTTTAGAAGTATTGGGAGTTGCAATAATCGTAATTATTTGAAAATTGGTACATAGCCATAAACCATTAGGTCCTCCTACATGAAAATAGTTTCAAGATGGCGGCACTTCCGCTTATACCGGAAGTCGGTCTCAACATTCTTATTTTAAATGGAAAGGTATATTTTTTACTGCGTTTTTGGATTAATTGGGTTATTTTAAGGGAATTTTCATTAGCTTTCCCTATACCTAAATTTAGTCGTTTTTGAAATATTTGGAGTTTTTCAAAAATTTTTGGATTTGCACCTTCCACTTTAAAAACCGGTAACTCTGCTATTTTTTAAAATTTTGAATTCGTTTTTTTGGCGTTTGATAGAGAAAGTTTAGATCTTTCTTTCGGTGTTTTCAAATTTTGAAAAAAAAATTAACAAAACGTAAAATTTTAAGGTTACTTTTGTAATAATTCAAATACCCATAACTCAATTTTTTCAAATGAAATACCCCAATTTTTATTATACTAAATGGAGGAGAATTTAATTCTGCATCGATCTGTATTAACATTCCCTATACCTAAATTTAATAATTTTTAGTTATGGTGACTTTTTGTTGAGACTGCCAAAAATCTGTTATTAGCCACATTCGTTTTCGTATAGTTTGCTATGGGAATAAAAAATGTCAAAATTGTTTCTCAATAAATGTCGACAGTGACTTATTATTTGACAAATAGTGCCAAAATATGGAGAGTCAAAGCTACTCAAACTTAGATTTAATTAATTTATTTTGTATTTATGAAAAGTGTAACAAAGTTATGATATCGTTCATTAAACAAAAATAAACGTTTCTCACTTGATAGCTTTAAATAATGATCGCATGGTAGAACCTATCAATAATAATGAAGTTTGTATAACTTTAATTCTCCATATTTTGCACTATTTGTCAAATAGTAATTTACTGTTGACGTTTGTTTAGAGAAAATTGTGACTTTTTTGATTTTCATAGCAAACTATGCGAAAACGCGTATAGCTAGTAATAAATTTTCTGTAGTCTTAAAAAAAAGTCCATAACTTGAAAATTATTAAATTTAGGAATAGGGAATGTTAATACAGATCAATGCACAATTAAATTCTCTTCTATTTAGTAAAATAAAAATTGGGGTATTTTATTTGAAAAAATTAAGTTATGAGTATTTGAATTATTAGAAAAGTAACCTTAAAATTTTGGGATATGCTATTTTTTTTCAAAATTTGAAAACACCAGAAAAAGGATCTAAGCTTTCTCTTTCAAACGCTAAAAAAACGAATTTAAAATCTTAAAAAATGGCAGAGTTACCGGTTTTTAAAGTGGAAGGTGCAAATCCAAAAATTTTTGAAAAACTCCAAATATTTCAAAAACGGCTAAATTTAGGTATAGGAAAAGCTGATAAAAACTCCATTAAAATAACCCGATTAATCCAAAAACGCAGTAAAAAATATACCTTTCCATTTAAAATAAGAAAGTTGAGACCGACTTCCGGTATAACCGGAAGTGCCGCCATTTTGAAAATATTCTCATTTAATAGGACTTAATGGTTTATGGCTATGTACCAATTTTCAAATAAATTATTCCAACTTCCAATACTTCTAAAGTGGGGTTTAGACGGAACAGCCTGTATTCTAAACAAACTAAATATATATTATTAATTTAAAAAACAGAAACTAATAAAAAATATAATAATAATTCGTAATAATATAGAAATCAAGATAATTTGTAATCGAGTCATCTTTAGTTCGGAAAACGTATGTCTCATTTGAACTAATTGCACTTGAAACGTCAAATAAAATTACAAATCGAAACGGCAAAATGTGCTGGAATTAGTCGCTGGCGTATAATACCCGTAATAGGAGCGTTCATTTTTTAAAGGTAAATCATTTTAGTTATTAAAATAATCATTTTTTTGCGATTTTACCTTTCTTTTTTTGGACGTTTCACAGACATACGTTTTTGAATTCAAGGATGACTCGATTACAAATTATCTTGATCGGTTGATATATATATAATCTGGAAATATCACGTGGTTAGATGATATACTTATTTCGCATAAGTCATTATTAATGGAGAATTCGGGAGTTACGTATTTTCTACAAAAAGCGTCTCCCAAAAAATGGTTTCAAGATTTTTAAAAAATCCCTAGATTTTATGGAAAAACTGAAAAAATCCCTTTATCCCTCAGACCGTTTAAAAATCCCTAGATTCGGGAAAAATACCTACACCTGGCAACCCTGAATTAAAAAGTGTCCTAACTATACTCTTTCATATCATATTAATGTGCATCAAGTAGGTTGTGTAAGTCCAAATGCATCTTTAATTTAAAGGCCGATTCACACAAAAGTGTCATTAATGTCATTGAGAACAAATCTAATCACATCAATGATGACAAAAATCTTTATGTTTACTGTCCCAATTACGTTGTTTATTTTAATTATTTTATGCTACCTGAGGTACACATTTATTTGGAAAAATCATTTTTAGGGAAGATTGAGTTTAGGATTGATTGTTTGAATTTTCGCATGGTTGCCACCTTAAAATGATCCCTTTCAACGACTACTTTGATGCACATTATTATGAAAACGAGCATTGTTATTGATCTTTCGTGGCTGAATAGTTTAAAATTGTTTCATTTAATTTAAATACTTTAGTATTGTACTAGAAACAGTATCGATAAAACAAAGTTCTGGAACGACAGCTGAACCTGAGGTAGCTGTGGTCAAAAATGTTTTTTTTCTTACAAATATTTTGAAACCTAAGTATTTAAAGTATTTATTTACCTGAAATGTTATCTTTAGTCAATCTTTTATCCATAGATATCGTTAAATAAAAAGCAAATAAATAAATAATTGCATTAAGTTCCGACCTAGTCGCTTCTGCTCATAAATCATTCAATTTTTATTTTATTATTAATTTACTATAAAAATGTGACATTTTATCAAGAATAAAATTTTTAGAATTTTTGTTTCCTTTTTGAGTTCTGCAAAATTTTGATTTTTTTTTCAATGGCAACCCACTATAAAACCTTTTTTCTCGAAGACTATAATCTAATAAGGATTACAACAAACAAAAAATATCACTTCAAAACAAAACAAAATTTCATTCTCAAAACACGATCACATTTTTTATAGTACTAATTTAGTAATTTTTATTAATAATTACTTTTTCAAGGCAAGTGATTTAAAAAAGCGCTTGATTTCGTGATTTTTGTGAACAAACTTTATATTACTGTTAATGTCAAAAATAAATTAAACTTGAATAAATTAAAATTTCAATAATTGATTGATTTAGCTTTATAGCTTGAGCATGATATTAAAGATACGAGTAAAACTTAAATAAATTAAAGAAATATAAATATAGAAAAAAGCAGAAAACTTGAACCCCTTATGATTATGTTAAACATTCCTTGTTTCCTCCGGACATCCTTATTGATCTAAAACCTTAAACACAAATGAACCTCCTGGGTTAGAGTAATAAGTAAATTTCACATTTCAAATAGAAATCATGATCACAATAACCCATAATTTTTTAAAGACATTTTATTGTAGAAGACATTTTTTTCATATCTGATTCACGCCCCTAGTAACATTGATTTGTTAATTATTGTGGGTAGCCTTCATCATGATTAAATATAATATTAATTTGTGGTTGAAAAAAAACCTATCATCTCAAAACAACATTCTATGAATATTACTAAAAAAAAAATCTATCAATCAATCCACCTTTATAAATGCCATTCGTTGATATAAAATAAATTTTACAAACGCAACCAGCGCAACCCTTTCCAAAAAATTACTAAGAAATGCACTCCACATAGCCAATAATTTTTTCTGTAAATCGTTGATTTTAGTGATTGTTTACAACAAAAATTGGGTTAAAATATTTATTTTAATTAATTAACAACTTATACAGGGTGTTAAAAAAGATTGTAAAATATTTTAAGAGGTAATAGCAGTATGGACCAAAACAAACAAAAAAGTCTTAATTAACATAGGTCCGCAAAGTAACGGTTTTGGAGATATCGGAAATTATTCGTTTTTTAAAACATTTATTTGCAAAAAAGAGAAGCTTCTAGCAAAATTTCTAAAAATTTTCGCATTCAATATCTCCATGGTCCACACTATTACCTCCTTAAACATTTTACATTTTTTTTACCACCCTGTATATTTACACAGAATTTGGTTTACTCAGATACCTAATCATTTGTTGTAAATACCTATATAACATGATAATTACTATTAATAGTCTCTGTAAAGTGTTTATTATCTCATATACAGAAACAATCATGTATTCAATAATGAACTGAAAAATTATTTTGACAGAACAATTTTAAAATTTTCTACATAAAACATGTATTTTTAATATACTTGCGATGAAAAAACGTTTTATTTAGCTAATGCGCTTATAACTATAATCAGGACGATAATAATTAATAAATTTGATTGTTTTGGTAAAAAATTGCAGTACTTAAGACGGTTTTTAACACGGAAATCATCGGCTTAAAATTTGTTAGTTTAGAAAGTTGGTAAACATACACTTCTTTACAGAATCACATCTTTTGTTTGTTTTTTAGTCTTGTTAATAATAGATTTGTTAAAAAGTTGTAGCCTTCCGCAGTACGCAATAATAATATACAATGTATTACAATAAAAAGTCAATATTGTTTACGAAATAATTTATTTCTTTGCAAAATAAACCTAAAACGCTTTGGAATTATTGTTATAGTCTCGACAAACCATAAATTGACAACGGTATAAAAATGAATTAGTTTATTTTAAAATTTTAACTGTCAAATTATACAATTTACATTTTAGCAAATTTCTTATAATATCGGGAGAATGAACTTAAAATAGGTAGTCCTAGTCGCCTTGTGTGTATTTTTAAACATTGGATGGACGCCCTATTTACACACGTGGTCGTGTGCTCAATTTTCAAAACCTACAGGTGTCGCAAAAAATTTATTAGTTAAGCTAAGTAATTCCCCCATTACTTCCAAAAAGTTTTTTATGCGAATGCAACATTTAAATATATGTTTCCTTGTATAAAAGTTTGCGATTGTGTGACATACAACATTTTTTATTATACTTCTTAAAAAACATTCTCGTACAGTTGGAGACAGAATACTTTGGTCGTCAATGTCACTTGAGTGACATTAAATTGTAAAGCATGCTTTAGAACTGTTAACCTTATTTTTAGCTACTGTCAATCATATAGTTGACAAGTTGTACAGATTTTTGATAGAAAAATGTCATTAATTTGGAATTATCATCCATTATTAAAGTGTCAGAAAAGTGACGACCAAAGTATTTTGTCTCCAACTGTACGATCGTACTAAACAGCATTGCTTTTTTTGTTTTTCGGTGTTTCAATTTGTAAGTATTGAATGAAACTGACCAATAGGCAATAATGCACTTGATTCTCTCTGAATAAAGATAAAGTTTTTCTGAATTTTACGCTGTGAAAATTCAAAAAATCTTATTCTCTGCCATCTAACCATAGGCAGTCGAATTATGCAAACATTGTAGGTCACTTTTTTATCAACTTGAAGATAACATGACATTGCAAGGTCAACTGTTAACCTAAGTTATTTACTTCTTTAGTCATTTATATTACGTTAATTACAGCATAATGGTAGCCCAACACCCAACCTTTTTCCTGGCAATCATTTCACACTTCTTCGTGAAATCATTTAATAATTGTACCAATAATTAATGTTCAGAATAATCATTTTTACTTTTAATAAAGTGATAATGTGCCATATGTAACGAGAATGTCAAATGATTAATTTGCGGCTAAACCGACCGTATTGTTGTTGAAATTGTTTTATTACTTTTTTGTGAAGAGTGGATGTGTAGGATATAGACGGTATAAAATAGAAATTGAAATTTAAAATTGACTTAAAATTATTATGATGTCTGGAATTAGTAAAGAAATTTTACATGGAACCAAAAGGTGGACTTTTGCCCAATATTCAAATAAATTTGGCAAAATTTTAAATGCCACTTTTTCCTCAACTAAGCAGAGTAACCAGAGGTGAGTTTATTGTCGAAGAAAGTTTTCGAAAGAATAAAAATACTGTAGTTTAATATTAGTTCCAAAATGTGTCCCTTGACAGTCACGAGATAATGAATGACATTCTACTCATCCAGTTTTATACAGGGTGCCCCAGAGAAAAATGCCATGTAAGGTAAGATACCAGAAACATGGAAAAAATGTTTAAAAAACTCTATCTATAAAAATTTCCCGAGTTTAAATTTTGCTCTTTGACTCTGTTTATTTCTGTTTGAAAAATAATTTTCCAAGTTTTAGAGGCTATTAGAAGAGGAAACAAGGAAGCTGTATCCTAAATTGTGACTCTGTTTAATGTTATTTGTGGTTTTTATTGCCAAAATTTTGTACCTTTACTACATAATTATAAAAAACATATACAAGATCATTAGTATCATTAAATTGACATAAAAAATGCCATATGTCAAAATATAACTGTCAAAATTTTTTGATAGATAGAATTTTTTAAACATTTTTTCCATGTTCCTGGTATCTTATCGTACAGTTGCGGAATTAAAATTTCGGACAGTATTGTCATTTTCATAATGTAAACTCTAAAACAACCTTTATACAGTGCGATCAAAAAGTCTTCCTATCAAGTACGCGTCCTAGTTGAGGACGTGTGTTGCATGACAGTTCGTATGTTATCTAGATGTCAAAAAAATATTTTATAAAAATTAAAACATTGAGCTAATTAAATTGAATTATTCTATGAAACGTCTCAAAACAAACTAAAATAAGATTTCGTTGGTGTTTATTCATAAAAATCGTTCACCACGGTTTCCTCTCATAATTTATATAAAAATTATTTTGACATTTTTCATTTGTCATTGTGACATTTTATATTCCACAGACATACGTTTCTATGCTTGCTTGATAGAATCGCACTGTATTAATAACCTCATTTTTTACTCTTGTCATGTTTATGTCATTTTGACTTCAAAAATAGCGTACTGACAGTAAAAATTAATTGTCAAATGTGAGTCATGATGACAATAAAAGGTAGTTTACAGTGAACTTTTTGAAGTGACAGAAAAATACTGCCCGAAATTTTAATTCCGTAACTGTACTTCATATTTTTCTCTGGGGCGCGGATTCTGACAATTAGAGATTTTTTTGTTCGATAAAAGTAGAAAAAAATCTACTTCCAAAAGGTGAACTTCCTGTAGAAATTTTTAATTAGTTAGAAGGTCCAAAGATCAAATTCTGTTTATAATTTTTCGAAATCTCAGCTCAAAGTTAGAACTCTCAACCATTTTTTTTGAAGAGGTACTATTTGCTAATTTTAAATACAGATTTGCAATATTCACCCTTTCTAGAAATCTTCTCTTTTCTGGATTTTCTGGAGCAAAAATATTTTTAAATACATGCATGATAAATTTTTAAGTTCCAATTTCTTGAAGAAATTCGAACACACTTTTATAAATACTATCTTCAAGAATACAGGGTGCGCCAGAACTCGCGCCCCAGAGAAAAATGCCATATAAGGTAAGATTCCAGGAACATGGAAAAAATGTTAAAAAAATTTTATCTATAAAAATTTCGAAGTTATGAAGGTTTAAAGTTTGCACTCTATTTATTGCTGTTAGAAAAATGATTTTCCAAGTTTTTTTGCTATAGGCTATTAAAAGAGGAAACAAGGAGACTGTATCCTAAATTATGTTATTTGTGGCTTTTATTGGCAAAATTTTTGTCCCTTTACTAAGTAATTGTAAAAAAACATATACAAGATCATCAGTATCATTAAATAGATATAAAAAAAATGGCAAATGTCAAAAAATAAATGTTAAAATTTTTTGACAGATAGAATTTTTTAAACATTTTTTCCATGTTCCTGGTATCTTACCTTACTTGAAAATTTTCTCTGGGGCGCGAGTTCTGGCGCAACCTGTATTTGTGGTTTAAAAATCAGAATTTTGCCTTTGCTAAAATTTTCAATTTTACCACAGTTTAAAACTCGAATTGGCCATAAACCACTCGAGGATAATTTCCCAAAATTATCTTTTGTATAATTTCAGTGAGGAATTCGATGTTGTGGTGGTCGGCGGCGGCATCGTAGGCGCCGCCTCAGCTCGTGAAATCCTTCTTCGGCACAAAAGCCTCCGCATGGCAATTGTCGAAAAAGAGCCCAAATTAGCAGTCCACCAAAGCGGCCACAACAGTGGAGTAATCCATGCTGGAATCTACTACAAACCCGGATCACTCAAAGCGAAACTTTGCGTAGAAGGCTTGCATTTGGCCTATAAATACTGTGATGAGAAAAAAATACCTTACAAAAAAGTTGGGAAGCTCATCGTCGCAACGAATTCTTTAGAACAGCAACGTTTAGCTGATTTACACGACCGAGGCCTCCAAAATAAAGTTCCTGATCTTAAAGTATTGAAAGGAGTTGAGGAAATTAAGAAGATTGAACCTTATTGTCAAGGAGTTGAGGCTTTGTGGTCGCCTCATACAGGGATTGTCGATTGGGGTTTGGTTACTGAGTATTACGGTAAGGACTTCAAAGACAGTGGAGGCGACATTTTTTTCAATTTTGAGGTTCAATAATTCTTAATCTTAACAAGATTGTTTATTTTCGTAAATTGTAGGTCAACGGTTTTAAGGAATCGTCAAGTGGTTCATATCCTGTCAATATCACTGCCAAAAATGGAAAATCACTGAATGCTAAATACGTGTTAACATGTGGGGGTTTATACTCCGATAAGTTATCCGAGTTGTCTGGGTGCCCCCGTGACCCTAAGATTGTCCCAATCCGTGGGGAATACCTCCTCCTAAATCCCAAAAAGTGTCACATGGTGAAAGGGAACATCTACCCAGTCCCTGATCCCAGATTCCCTTTTCTTGGTGTTCATTACACTCCCAGAATGGATGGTAGTGTTTGGCTGGGTCCAAATGCTGTTCCAGCCTTTAGGAAAGAAGGTTACACGTATGTCGCACAAACTTCGTCGATTATTATCAAATTTTGTCCCTTGTAGGTGGTTTGACATCAATGTGAAAGAACTAGTTGATGCATTTTCTTATCGTGGATTCCAGAAGCTGATTTTTAGAAATGTGGGATATGGTGTGCAAGAGGTAATGAAGTCGGCTTTCAGTCGTTTGCAATTGAAGGATTTACAAAAGTATATACCGGAAGTTACCGCTGAAGATATCAAACGCGGACCAGCGGGTGTGAGGGCACAGGCTTTAGATATTAATGGGAATTTAGTCGATGATTTCGTTTTTGATTTGGGGAAAGAAGGAGTCGGGAAGAGGATTCTTCACTGTAGAAATGCCCCAAGTCCGGGAGCCACCAGTTCTTTAGCTATTGCCAAAATGGTAGCTGATAGGCTCGAAAAAGAGTTTGAGTTGAAGAAATAACTACTAACCACAATAAAGCATAAATAGTTTCAAAAGCATTTTTGGTTTTACCTGTTGTCCCATAGACTTGTGCGTCAATTTACTGCTACTGCTAACACTGTTGATTGACAGTAATAAAAAGTCTATCCAATGTCAAAAAATCAATGGAATCTGTATACTTTGGTTTGGAACTTTGATAAATTTTTGTATACAAAAATTTACTTTTATGTTTTATGGATTGTATAAAAATTTTTTGTTGATTGTAGGAACTAGACCAAAAATTATAACATTTTATAAGTAAAAATAATTTTATTTATTAAAAAAATTAAGTTTTACATTTGGATTAGACAGTTATTTTTAATCTTTACAAATTTACAAGAACATTGAAATTACGACAACTCTTTATTATTTCTTTAATTCTTCGAATAAAAAACACAAGGATTAATTTTATTCTCTATAAAGTAGTTCTCTATTATTTTTTAGCTTTGAGAAAACCCCTTGAGAATTTCCCATACCTATATCTGTTTGTTGTTTTGGATGGAGCTTTTGACTTCTCGCAAGTTCTTCTTTTGGAGAAAACTTTTTTTTGTTTATTTAATGTTACCCATGATCTTGTATTTTTTTTATTATTAAGTATTTAGTAAACATTTAGTAAAAATTTTGCCAATAAAAGCCAGACATAACATTAAACAAAATTACAATTTTCCTCGTTTCCTCTTATTCTAATAGCTTATAAAAAATTAATTTTCACGTCGCCGGCGTTAATTGACAGTAATAAAAAGTCTATCCAATGTCAAAAAAATGGCCGTTGAGGGAGCGACAAGTCCGCGCTTCAAAGGAACCTGTATACTTTGGTTTGAAACCTTGATAAATTTTTGTATATAAAAATTTATTTTTGTGTTTTATGGGTTGTATAACAATTTTTTTGTTGATTGTAATTTTTTCTAAGAAGTAGACCAAAAATTATAACATTTTATAAGCAAAGATTATTTTATTTACTAAAAAAATAAAGATTTGGGTTAGATAGTTATTTTTAATCTTTACTAATTTACAAGAACATTGAAATTACAAGAACTCATTATTTCTTCAATACTTCGAATAAAAAACACAAGGATTAATTTTATTCTATATTAAGTAGTTCTCTATTATTTTTTTGCTTTGAGAAAACCCCTTGAGAATTTCCCATATTTGTTTAAGTTGTTTTGGATGGAGCTTTTAAAAACTGAGTTCTTCTCGCAAATTCATAACCTTTTGGAGAAAACTTTTTTTGTTTATTTAATGTTACCCATGATCTTTTTTATTATTAAGTACTTACTAAAGGTACAAAAATTTTACCATTAAAAGCCACAAATAACATTAAACAGAGTTACAATTTAAGATACAGCTTCCTTGTTTCCTCTTATTCTAATAGCCTATAGCAAATTATTTTTCCCGTTTTCTGCGTTAATTGACAGTAATGAAAAGTCTATCCAATGTCAAAAAAATGGCCGTTGAGGGAGCGACAAGTCCGCGCTCCAATGGAACCTGTACACTTTGGTTTGAAACCTTGATAAATTTTTGTATAGAAAAATGTATTTTTGTGTTTTATGAGTTGTATAATAATTTTTTTGTTGATTGTAATTTTTTCTAAGAACTAGACCAAAAATTATAACATTTTATAAGCAAAGATAATTTTATTTATTAAAAA